AAAAAAAAAAAAAAAAAAAAAAAGATTATTACTGTTCCAAAAGTTTATAAACTAAACTTAAAAGAATACCATGTCTGAAAAATTGCAGAGAAAATAGTCAAATACTTGCTGATGCTAAAGGCTATTTTTAATTCTTAGCCTTGATGTAAATTGCTAGTTTAGATGTCTTCACGCATGTTGGAGAATCCTCTCCTTAAGATATAGATACAGTGTCTACAGGTAATGTTGAATTTGTGAGCAAGGAAGCATGTAGGGCCAGGGATATAGCTCAGCGGCACAGTGCCTGCCTGGCAAGCGTGAGGTTGCGAGTTCGATTCCCAGGACAAAAAAAGAAAAAAAGAAAGCATGTAAAGCATGTACAACAGTTGTGATATCAAAGAAAATGCATTGATGAGAAGAAATTTATATTCATTTCCCAGCTCTGCCACTAACTAGAGTGTGGAACTTGAGCCACGAACCTACCTGTGATCACCACTTCCAGATCCATGCGCACCATCACTGTGGGTCGTAGGTGTGTTAGTACAATATAGGTCTCTCAACCTTTGCAGCCAGAGGAGACCTGGGTGACGGGAGCCTCTGGGCTAGAAACACCTTTGTCCATCTTCCCCTGTGCACCTGCAGGCTCACTTCCTGTAGGGGCCATAACTGGAGAGGAGGCAGGAAGCACTGCTTCGCTTATGGCAGCTGAACTTTTAGCTACCTATGAGGCCAGCTGTTTCACACCTTTTTTTTTTTTTTTTAAAGAAACAGTAATTACTTTTCACTTTAAATACTGTAGTTTAAAGCTACTTCTGGCTTTAAAACTTTTAGAAAGACACTGCTTAGCATACATTTCAGATGGTATTTTAAATAGATAAACCCCTTTGGGGGTACAATATGGTACTACATAGCAAGGGCCATAAAAATGACCATATCCTTTGCCCCATAAATTCCACTCATATTTTTAAACTGAAGAACAATACCCCCCAAAAGAGTAAATGAATGAAAATGTTTATGTCTATATTTTTATAATAGCAAAATAATTGGAAAAAGTCTACATGTCAAGGAAGAAAGTAAGCTAATAAAAATATGGACGTATACTGGTGTGGAAATAATTATTTGGAAATCTGTGTAGAAGCATGGATGTGTCTCTGATGTGGTAAGATAAGCACAATGCAAAATTGTACGCACACCAAAATTGTGACTAGTCTATGCATGTGGGCGGTAATACGCAAAATAAACTTGTATGAGTGTAAAGGGATATGGAATGATTTTTAATTTATTTTTTCTTTATTATTTGTATTTTCAATAAAAATAAATCACTGTGTTGATTGGTAAGAGTGCTTGAATTTGGGCCAGTTTGGTTTGAGGGCAGTCTGAACTGATGACACAACTGAATTATAAATTATTTCAGGCTACATTGAATTATAAACTATTTCATTGTTTTAGAGAACATTTAGCAATTAATGCTGGACTAGTGGTATGTTGCAAAGTACTGTTGTAGAGATCTTCACAATGGGAGAGACAAGAGCAGTTGTCACAGGCATGGTGGTGTGGTGTGCCTGTAATGCTGGCACTTGAGGCAGGAGGATCACAAGTTTGAGGCCAGCCTGGGGTCTGTCTGAGCTACATAGAGACCCTGTCTCAAATAGAAAAAAAGAAAGGAAGAAAAACTACAGTCATCTTCCTCTCCTTTGCCAGTTGTCTAGGTCCTATAAAATCCTAACTCAATTCTAACCTTCTCCAGGAATTCTTCCCTGAATGTTTCAGCTATAGTAAAACTGTCATTGTCACAGAGAATGTTAGCATCTATGAGTGCTAAGTAGATCTCTTGGCCAAGTTTGAAACTGTGGACCACATCTTATTCTTAGTATTCTCAAGGTCAATCATTTCATGTGTGCATCTAGCATACTTTTAAAAAGGATAATGGTATCAAGCATTTGTACGGAAAGCATTCTGGAGGTGCTTGAAAGATCTAGAAAGTAGTTTATTATCAGAGGTATTTAATTCGCAGTTTCTAAAATATTATTTGCTACTGATTTGTATTCAGAAGAAAGGATTAGGGAAAGTACAGAGTTTTTGTCCATCAACCTAAGTTTCAAATCACTGCAGTATGAATAAAAAAATACTCTTTCAAATTTAAAAGCCAACGCTTTGGAAGAACAAGCACTATTTAAGCATGACAATTGAAATGACCTTATCCAAATTTTAAAAGTTGCTGTTTCTCAAGGTTTTACTTGTAGTTTTTTTAGCTGAAACCGAAGGAGGATCAATATCTAGGGTGCTTGCTTAAAGTAAAGACATAGTAACCTTTGTTTTCCCACTTACATAAGTGTGCGCCTGTATCTTGAACTAAATAGTTGTGTTCTTCCTAAGTTGGTAAGTTGAAGCCCAAGCCCGTGTCATTGTAATTGGAGAGAGGGCAAATGCTTCCTGGATGTAATTAAAGTAAAATGAGGTCCTGAGGACCGGGCCTCCAGCCAACAGGCTAAGTGTCCTTCCAGGAAGGGACTGGAAAGCCTGCTCACATGTACACTCGCTCTCATCCTCCCGCCTCCAGCCCCCAGAACGCAGCTGTCACGACTCCCAGCTGCTAGAACTGTGAAGAAATACACTCCCGTTGCTTAAGCCTCTCAGTCTATGGTATACAGCCCGAGCTGACTATAAAGCTTGCACAGGCGATGACTCTTCAGTGGTAGTGGCGTCGAACACGGGGCCTTCACGCTGAGCTACATCCCCAGCTCCCCACCTTATTTTGAGACAGGGTCTTGCTAAGTCACTAAGTTGCCCAGAGAGGGCTCAAACTTGCCATCCTCCTGCCTCAGGCTCCCAGAGTGCTAGGATTACAGGTATGTGCCACCATGCTTGGCACTTTATCTGATGCAGTTCAGGTTTTGGGTCAGCCAGTATCCCCTAGACAGCCCTTCCTCCTCCCCTCACGTATGCAAAGTAGCCAAAACCACTTGATTAGTCTGAGAAGGTCTGAAACTGTTTCAATCCGGTTTCATTTCTTAGGTCACACGAGACAGCTTGGAGTGTCTGTCTGCCTCAGAGCAGTGCTCCCAAAGACCGTGTGTGCTGGAGCTCTAACTCCGGCCCTGGGCCGCAGCAGTGACATGGGCTGTCGTGCCACCTCACGCCGTGCCACAGTGACAGCTGGCCAAGTTCCCTGAAGCTTTAGTGACAAGAACCGATAGAGTAGGCATAGTGACCAGGAAGGGGATGGTGTAGGTGTCTTGCTTCTAGGCCTTCTTGCAGTTCCGTCCTGTCTCTCCTGCAGCTTGGTTCTGTGAACCAATAGATCCTTTTTGGTTTTGAGTTGCAATTTTGGCTCTTGCAACCAAAGTACAGACTAACGTCAAGCAGGCTGGGTGGGGGTTTGTAGCTCAGTGATAGAACACTTCCCTAGCATTCATGGGCCCTGGGTTTGATCCCCAGCACTGCAAAGAAAAAATAAAGTATATAATTCAGTGGCTTTTAGTATATAAAAAAAAATGGAAAAAAAAAAACATGGGCTCTGTCCCTTGTTAAAATGTAAACAGCTTTGGAAAGTATATTGGTTTTCATGCTATAACAAATTGTCAAATTAGTAACAATATAAATTTAGTATAATTCTATAGGATAGAAATGTGGCATGTGTCAATGGTAGCAAATTTAATTCCATCTGGAACCCTAAAGCCCCTTTGTAGAGGACCACCTAGGCGCTCCTTGAAAGAGGAGCAGTGGCCTCCATTTTGGCCAAGCCTGACCCTATTTCCATGTACTGGTATGTACAGAGCTGGCTAGGACTTTTCCTTATCCCTTCAGTTGGCTTTAAGCAGTGCATATTGGTCTAGCCAAGGTGCTGATGGTAGTCTTTGGAGATGGCAGGCATGTTTCCCCACCCCCATTGCTTCCTCCAGTGAGGCAGGATGTGTGAGCAAGTGCTCCCCGCTGTCTGCTGGGATGGAGCCTTGGGATACAGGCTATGACTTCCTGGGGCTTCAAATATTATACATCAGAGGTGAAGCACCAACCCCAAAACATTAGATACTATCTCAGTTGTGTTATGCAGATTACCCTTTCTGCAGATCCTTCTCTCCACATTTGCAGAGGTGATTTCAGGCCTCCTACCTAACCCAGCTCATGACACTCACCTACTTCCCACAGTTCTCACAGTCACTCATCCTCAAGCCACTCCCTTCTTCATGAATGAATAAAACCTGGGTTCTGCCTTGGGTCAAGGCCTTTGTTCAAGATAGCCATCATTGTGACTGGACTTATGACCCCTTGGCTC